CGCGCCGCAAAAACCGGCCCGGCCGGAACCGCGGCCGCGGGGCGGGACGGGGCCGCGGCCACGCCCCCCCGCGCCGCGGAACCTCGGTGCGCGGCGTGAGGAGCGGGGCGGGCCCGGCAGTGCGGCGGCACGATGAGCACCAAGCAGGTGACGTGCAGGTGAGCGCGGCCCGGCCCTCAGCGCCCTCAGCGCCCTCAGCTCCCCCAGCTCCCCGCCGACACCGCCCGGCCCTCAGCGCCCTCAGCTCCCCGCCGACACCGCTCGGCCCCTGCCCCGCGCCTTCGCAGCGCCTCGTTCCGCTCCCGCGCGCCGTCCGGGCCCGGAGCCCTCGCACCCCTCAAGCACGGCCTCGGCCCTGCCCCGCGCCTTCAGAGCCCTGCGCTCCGCTCTCCCGCCCCCCACGCGCCGTCCGGGGCCGGCCCGTGCCGAGCTGGAGGCCGTGGCTCCCTTTTTGTCCCCTCCTTGTCCCCTCCTTGTCCCCGGCCCTGCGCTGCCCCCGGAGGCTGCCCGGGGTGCCGGCCCGCGGGTGCCCGGCAAACAGCGGGGAAAGGCTCCCCCGGGCCCCGCGCGGGTTTGTTCGTGGAAGGGCGCTCGGGGTCCGGGCAGTGCCCAGCCCTGCAGGTGGCCGCGGGCGCTGTGCTCCGGGCTGGGAGGCTTTGCCAGCCCCGCTGGGTCTGTGCGAACAAAGCAAAGCCCAGCGATGCTCACAGCGTGGCCGCAGCGCCCGCCTGAGCCGCGTCTCTCCGCAGGTACTTCTTGCAGGGCGTGTGTCGGGAGGGCAGCAAGTGCCTGTTCTCCCATGACCTGGCCACCAGCAAGTCCTCCACCATCTGCAAGTACTACCAGAAGGGGCAGTGTGCCTACGGCTCCCGCTGCAGGTAAGCCCCGCGCCTGGGCACCGCCGGCAGCCTGGCCTGGCAGCCCCGGCCCAGGGCAGGCACACAGCACCTGGGCAAGGAAACCATTCATGAAATGCCAGTTTTGCCAGAGCCTAAAGCAGCTTTCGCCTCCAGTGGTGCAGTTCTGCCCCGGCTCAGTTTCAGGGATCGTTCTGCTCTGTGGGAATGGAGCTTTGGGTTTCAGGTGTGTTTTCCACCCGGTTCTTGCAGTCAGAGCTGCAGGTGCTGGTGGAGAGGCTGGAAGCTCCCGGTGCAGCTCCCTCCTGCTCATCCCAGGGCTCAGTTTTGGGGACTTCCAGCTCTGCCTCGAGGCAAAGTGCCCTCCTGGTGTCCCCCTGGGCTGGGGCAGGGCTGAGCATTCCACAGCTCTGCCTGGAGTCTGCAGGTTAAATCTCTGTGGGGAATGCTCTGGGGAGTACAGGCTGATGATCGGTTCTGGGGGAGCTCCCTGCTGGCTGAGGAGCCCTGGGAGCTCCGTGCTGATCCGTGCCAGGCCGGGGTCAGGGCCTGGGCGTCAGCCATTCCATCAGCTGCTGCTGCCCGAGCTGGAGCCTCAGGGAGGGCTGCAGGCTGGGTGTGCTTTTCCTGCCTGGACCTGGGCACTCGGGCACACAGCCAGCTCCAGACACGGATGGGGAATATTTCTGTATCCCTGGAAATGCTGTGTGTCCATGGAGCAGCCCCTTCCCTGCCCTGGCTGCTCCTGCTCTGCTGCTGCAGGGTGTCCCGGCTTGTCCCGGCTTTCTCAGCAGGGTGTCCCGGCTTTCCCCGCAGGGTGTCCTGGCTTTCCCGGCTGTCGGGGATCCCTCCCCGTCCCGGAGCAGCTGTGGTTCGGTGTCTCGGTGCCGGGCCGTGATGCCGGTTTCCCCGCCGCAGGTATGACCACGTGAGGCTCCCTCCGGCGGGCGGAGCCGCGGCCCCGCCGCCCCCCGCGGCCCCGGGCAGCCCCCGGGCGCCCCCCGAGCACGGCCCCGGCGCCCCGCGCAGCAGGAGGGAGAAGAGGACGCTGGTGCTGCGGGACAGAAGTGAGTGGGAGGCTGCTGTGCTCGGCCCCGGGCAGGGAGGGAGGGAGGGAGGTGCTGTCCCTGTGGATATCGCAGTTTCAAGGCCAGCCTGAGCTCTCCCTCAGTGGCTGCTCCCATCCTGCTCCCTGGGGGATGGAGAGGAGCGTTCTGCCCTCCCTGGGGGAGGATGCAGCGGCGAGTGTCAGGCTCTGCTCCCAGACAGCAGCAGCACAGGAGGAGCTGTGTGATCCCTCAAACCGGGGGAGGTTCAGGCTGGACAGCGGGAAGAATTTTTTCATGGAGAGGGTGGTCAGGCATTGGAAGGCAGTCCTGATCCCTGGGGGTGTCCAGGGACAGCTGGGTTGGCACTCGGGGCTCTGGGCTGGGTGACAAAGTGCTGACTGGTCAGACCTGATGGTCCCGGAGGTCTTGTCCAGCCTCGGTGATTCTGTGGTTTTCAGCCTGTTTGTGAGCAGGGAACACCTGAATAAACGCTGCCGTTGAACTCTTCGGTAGGCAGCTTGGGAAAATCCCTGCGATTCACGAGCAGGAGGGGCTTAGAGATGAGACCGCACCGGGAAGAAAACTTGAAATCTGGAGAGGCAGGACGGTGGGCTGAGTGCAGTGCCGCTGCTTGTCCCCGCAGACCTGTGCGGCTCCGGCGAGGAGAAGGCGCGGCCCGGCGCCGCGGGGGCCGCGCCGTGCTGCGGCGACCGTGGGGCCGGCGAGGAGGCCAAGCCGCACTCGTACCTGGAGGCCATCTGCAGCGGGCTGGAGGAGGCGGGGCCCGCGGGCTGTCCCGCCGGGCAGCAGCTGTGTCCCTACGCCGCCGCCGGCGCCTGCCACTTCGGGGAGCGCTGCCTCTACCTGCACGGGCAGCTCTGCGAGATCTGCGGCCTCCAGGTGCTGCACCCCTTCGACCCGGAGCAGAGGAAGGCCCACGAGATGGTAAAGGGGGAGCTGGGCAGTGCTGTGCTCGGGGCGGGCTGGGGCTGGCTGCTCTGAAGATGGAGCTTCTTCCCCAGAGCTCCTGTTGTACTGCTGGGCTGGAGAACGGTGCTAGGTCAGCTCGGGCCTCTGGAGCTGAATTGGCCGCAGCTTGTGGTTTTTGCCATTTCATCCTCATCCACCGGCCTGCAGCCTTCTCCCACGGCACCCTGGAGGTCTCCCAGGAGAATGCCTTTGGGAGGTCTCTGTCTGAGGCACCAGCTCGCCCTGCAGTGCTGTGGCAGTGGGAATGAGGTGTGGATTGTCACTGCTGGGGCGAGAAGAGCTGGAGGAAAGCCTGGAGTAAGAGACTAATTCCTTATCTGGGTAAAAATGAGCATCTGGTCAATGAACGTGGCCTTAGTTATAATCAGAGGAACACCTTGAGTGTGGCACCTGTTCAATGAGATGTTTTTTGGGGGTGTTTGAAGCACCAAATAATTCAATACCTGTTCTCTGACAGAGATGCAGAAAGGGGTGAAAGGAGCACCCTGGCATCTTTATGTCTGACAGCTGGGAGAACACTGAAGGCTGAAATACATGATTGAATGTAATATTCTTTAAATTAAACTCTGACAGTGACAGGTAGGAATGATGCCTCAGTGAGTGCTCCATGCTTTCCCTGCAGTAGATCCTTCCCAGGGGGACTTGGGTGTGCCAGGCTGGCACTCTCAGTGCCCTCTCCCCTGACAGATGTGCATGGCAACGTTTGAGCACGACATGGAGAGGGCCTTTGCCATCCAGGCCAGCCAGGACAAGGTGTGCAGCATCTGCATGGAGGTGGTGTATGAGAAGCCCTCGGCCTCGGAGAGGAGGTTTGGGATCCTGTCCAACTGCACCCACACCTACTGCCTGTCCTGCATCCGCCAGTGGAGGTGTGCCAAGCAGTTCGAGAACCCCATCATCAAGTGAGTGCTGCCCCTGCCCACAGGGGAGGCTGGAGCTGTCAGCAGGGCTCAGCACAGCCTGCTCCAGCTGCTCCAGCTGCTGCAGCTGCTGCAGGCCCAGGCCTTGGCTCAGAGCTGCCTGCACGAGCAGCAGGGTGCACTGGGTGTCCTTTGGTACAGTTCCCTTAATTCCACAGCCCTGCATCGGACCTCTGGCCACTCAGCCCTGTCTGATTGCCTGGTCAGTAGGCAGAGTGGACTCTGGGACCTGGCAAAGCTCTGCCCCTTGTGGAAATGCATCATTTCCTAGGCTCTCAGAACTGAGATAGAAGTGCTCTCATGTGGCAGTGTCCTGGTGCTCCCAGTGCTGACCAGCTGACACAGAACCTTTAGAATTACCATCTTCCTGTGGCATGAGCTGATGGAGCAACTGTTATCACTGCAGTGCCCACTTCAGTGAGGGGGCTTCAGTAAGAAATTCCATTTTTTCCTATGTATGTGCTTAGTTGTGGGATTTCTCCCTAAATTACAGCTCACTAACCACACTATTATCTGTCTCAGTAAATGCCTTTATCTTCTAGCTCCACAAAAAGTGTGTTCCAAACATGTTCCCACTCAGAGAGAACTTAAAACATCCAATTAGGGAAGTTTCCTTCTTTGAGCATCTCTCAAGTTACAAACATGCTG